GATAGTAATCTCTCCGTGGCGTGGCGTTTGACAGGGCGCGGAAAGTAGTTCGGCTGCCTGATGACGTTTTACGTAATTATAGGAGTTTTTTTACCGTTTTTTACGGATACCGTCGCAATTTTTTCGCTGTCTTATAGGAATCGTAATTATAGGAACCCGTTTTATAGGGGGGTCTACTGTATTTTGTTGTGGAATGCATTTTGGAACAAGCCCCTCGTCAGCTATTACATAACCACCATATCTTTTGTAATGGTTATTGTAAGTTCGCTGACATCCAGGGGGAATTGTTAATCCCGCGTCAGGATGATCTAGGGTCGTTCACATGTGGGTGTGGCAGAGGAGACACAGATGACAAGAATCTCACAAAAACCCATTTATTTTAAACATAAAAGTAAACTTACACTAAGGAACAAAAATGTTCTTTATACAATTGGAGGTTTGAATTGTCGAAGGTGTTTCTAATGTTGCTCGAAGGAAAGCTCCAGGGCAACGGCAGGTGTGGAGATTCGTTAGTCTGTGTCTGCAGTCTGAGTCTGTAGTCACAGGTTACCAGTTGGGCACAACAGACAGAAAACTGCTTTTGCGCGTTGACTAACCATGTGCAGGTGCAGTTTTCAGAAAGTGAGTCTGTCCTTGAAAATCAGGGATTATATCAATCTCCGTTCTTTGTTTTGTTTTCTTCTGATTGCTTCTACGTCCCTTTTTTTCTCGCTCCCCGATTGGTCTCTCCTCTGTCTCTAAGCGAAAGACGATTCCTGTTCAAGTCACCAGAAAGATCTGCTTCAAAGAATCTACTTGACACCATCCGTTACTCTGGATGCAAAATGTTGATGGAACTTTGAAATTTGCACTCATATTTTCCACCATTGTTGTCTAGTCTGTGATGTTTTCGAAATTTAACGTGATGTCCCTTTTTGTTATTAACCTTTCCCCCTTTTCAAAATTTCAATGTTCTAATTATTTGCATATGACCGACTTGTCAAAGGTCCATCCCTACTGCCGGTCGTTCGTTTACAATTATTAATCATTTATAATTATTGCGTTCTGTTTACATCAATAGCATTTTTTTTTTCTCTCGTCGCAGTTTCATATAACTATCACAACTAATCTGATCTTTGATCGGTTTTTAACAATAGACAATTTTTTTTCTAGTTTCGTTTTAATAAATTTCTAATAATAAATCTTTAATATCAACCCGTTTTTGGGACCTCACATTATGTAGTGTTTGATGAGGAACTTGCTCCAGACTTTGTTATAGAATATCTACTTATTACTTATCTACTGTTAAAGATGTCTTGATTACTTTACAAACAAAGATTAATTATTTCTTCCATAAATAAATTTATGCTAAATATAACATAAAAATAGTGTAAGTGCTATATATTAAATGTAAATATTGACTAGATTTGTATAAATGTACACACAAATAAATTAAATTTATGAAACTTGTAAAAATTTTTATCATTATTTCATTGTGATCAAACTGAATTATTTGAATTTGAGTTTAAATGTAATACATTTCAAAAAATAAATTCAGATTTATGAATATGAAATTATAAATTTTTAGCTGACATTGGTTGGGAAATTTTTTCCTACAATTCATAACAATCCTTTATTAATCTTTTATTTTCAAAATAAGCAAATTGTTATGAAGATATCGGAATAGAGAAATTTTGATAAATTTTAAAAATCAATACAGTATATATTATTGATTTAGTATTAGTCGGTCTATGTCTGTAATAATATGATCAGACATGTATTATGGATTTACAATGCTTGGGGCCATATATATGAATTATTATATATTTCTGATAGTACAAACTGATGATGAATAAAACAGAGGTGTTTTAAGATTTTCAGTATTAATATTACAGGTAGGCCTCCTACAATGCGGTAGATACGTTCCTTGAAAATACCACGTTGTGGGAAATCGCGTTATAAGAGACACCAACTTAATACAAAAACTGGGATTCGGTTCTAAAAAGAGAAAAACTTGCCGTTTGAATGGCGTTTTTTGAATTTTTCAAACCAGCCATTGCTAGCCACGAATTTAACACTGGTTTCATCAGCCGACGACTGTCCCATTTGTTTTAAATAATCAAATATTTTTAAGGCTTTGTGTTTAACTGCACTTTTATTTAAAGGCAACCGTTTCTTGTTCATATCTTCTACCCATAATATTAGCACTTGTTCCATTTGTTTTTTTTTATTATAGGTGCTCTCAGACGAGCAACATTTTTTGCAAGAATAGATGATCCGGATGTGACTGAATTCCTAATCTTTTCTTCCTATTGCTTAATCAACCGAATAGTTGACTCATTTAAATTAAAATGCCTACCAATATCAGCTATCCGCTCTTGATTTTTAATTCAATCCAAAATTTCTATCTTTGTTTGAAGAGATATATTAATAAATTTCCTTATTATGACGGTCCTTTCTTTTCATTCGACATTGTTCGACATTGTTATGGCTAAAATTTTTTCAAGCAGTTTTGTGGACAGTAAAAATCGCAAAAAAATAACTTTCCTTCACTATGTTGTTAAAAATATACACCCAATAGAAGTTTATACTGTATTTTGGACCATTTTTGCGGTCCCCACCTATTGAAAGAGTATAAATTATCGAAAATTCAGTGATATATTTTGAGTGTTTATGGTAACTGATGCACATCCGTCTAGAAACCGGCCTTCCCCTGAAACTTTTATGGGAATAACACGTCAGCGTGGACAAACAGCTGTTTTCGAGGACATTTAGCTCTGTACACCAAACTGTGGCGCGTATTAAGTGATCCGTTGAGATTTTTCTGTTATGTGAAAGATAATTCGTTTCTAAATACCATAAACCGCGTTGTAAAAGTACCGCGTTGTAAGAAAATTTCCGCATTTTTCCAACCGCGTTGGAACGAAAACGTGTTGTAAAGGTACCGCGTTGTAGGAGGCCTACCTGTATTAGTATTTTAATTTAATTAGCATAGAATTTAACTTTTTATTGATGATTTGTTTTTAATTATTTATTGTTAATGGTCAGTCCAAATAACAATAAAGAAAACTGTCCAACTGTTGTATAAACTGTGAAATTTTTAGTTGATTGTTTACAATGTGAAACTTGAACACACAAGCTAAAGTTAGAGAGCAATGATTTGAAAGTAATTGGTCAATCATGCACTTATTGGCAAAGATGTCACAAGATCAAAGAAAACACAAGATCATAAATACACATAATTAGAAGTAAAGTTGGATGATGAATTCTAATGGCTCATACATGAGTAAACAGTTTCCACTATAGAAAAGTACTCAAAATCAAAATCTCAATAATTTGTGTTAGATTTTATAGCAATTTTTCTCATTTAATACTGGGTCATATGTTTATCCTTGCTAATAAGTTGCTATGCCTTTGATTAAATAAACATTTTCAGATTTAGTTTAGCTTACAAATTTAATATTTGATCATTTTGGAAACTTATAATGTTTAAACATTAGTGTCTTTAATTTTTAATTCATTATTTTAAAATATATATAAATTATCATCATTACCACTAATATTTGATAAAAATTCAAGTAAGTCGAACTGTTGTGATTATTATTTCAGCATAGGTTCGATTTTGAATTAACATTAGAGAAGAGGAAATAACTTTATTGCAAAATTCATTTTATAAACAATATAATATATTATATTAATACATATAAACATATATATCATTATTTAATTATTAAGTATTTAATATACTGTTATATTTATACAGGCTTGTAAGTCAATATGTATGTGGGTCAAGGCAATATATTCATATGCTCATGTATTTAAAGCAGTTCAACCCAAGAGAGAGAGGTAATTTTTTTATTAATAGTAATTTCATCAGTATTGAATAATTTATGAATCTTAAAAAAACATATACCAATGAAATTTTTTGTCGAAGTAGTTATAATTTACAATTGTTAATTGTTAATTCATAATAAAACAGTTAAATATAAAATATCCATTAAACAAATATAAATGAATATAATGATTATAGTTGCTCTTATTAATACATTTCTTTATATATTTTTAATATATAAATTCTGAATGGTTTAATATATTACATGTTTTTTAAGCTCATGTCAATAAAAGATTTAACTGTACTGTGATTTCTGTTATTCAGTATTCAAAAAGTGAAGTATTGTATTGTTTCAGTTGTTCTTTACACAATCTGCAAAAATCTTTTCTATGTAAACAGAATTCCTTAAGATATTGTAGATTTTAGATCAGTCTAATATACCTGAGCCAAAAAATCAAAAAATTGGGGGAAAATTCTATCACTGCAGGTGAGCATGTGTGTGTGCGCATTGGTATCTACTGTATTTTGTTTAATATCTCAGAATGGAGTAAAGACTAAAAAATGAAATTTGGCATGCTAACTTGTATATGAGGGGCATTGATGGCATTAAATTTTGGTGGTTTAAGATCAGAGGGTTGGAGCAATAGAGAGAGATTGGGTGTTATACGTTGGATGAAGTTAGATTTAATGAAAATTTTAACACAATATATGTACAGTACTCTTTTATATTTAAAATTGTATATTAAATATATATTACTGTCATATAGCACTTGTATGTGACTATATAATGAGCTCGTTCAAGTTAAAAATTAGTAATAAAAGTATAATTTTTAAAAATGACATGCCAAGTTTGCTTTGTACATAGTAAAGAAATTCTTAAATATTTATCAATTAGACTTTTAAATAAAGAATTAAAAATTCTTATTATTACAGATTGGCAGAAGTGGAACGAGAACTTAATGAAATTAAAGCTACATTAAAAGAAAAAGAATTAAAACTTGCTGAAGTTGAAAGCTATATTAACGATTTAAGAAAAGAGTATAAATTGAATTTAGAGAAACAAGGAATGTTAGAAATGGATATTACACAAACTGCAACACAATTGAAAAGAGCTTCTCAACTTACTAGTGCACTTTCAGATGAAGCAGAACGATGGAAAATATCGCTTCAGGTGTAGAAACCATTTAATCGCTTTTCATTCTCAAAATTAATTTATCAAAATCTGGGATTCATATTAAAATACAGGAGCAAAAAGAATCAATTTAAAGAGCCAAAGTTTGAAAATTTATATTATCCACAAATCCATGTATCATTCCCAATCATAACATTAACACGGTATAGTGGTACCTCAGGATACAAACGCCCCAGCATATGAAATTTTCAGGATACGACATGAAATTTGAACATAATTTTGCTCCACGATATGAACAAAATCTCACCATACGACGTTACATTAGTTTGCAGCACCATTTTTTATTCATTTCTGTTCATCGGTCTCAGTCCGCGTGTTTGTTTCGTCGTGGAAGGATCTCACTCGATAAAGGAAATCTTGAGGTATTATCAGAAAGTGACTGATTTTATTGAAAAGAAACATCCCAAAAAGGTTCACACTGGCCGTATTTGCTGCTTGGATTAATTACATTTGCCTAAGTAATTTTAGAAACATTTTAAAAAGTAGGTAAAGCCAAACCTCTTTGGATAGATATTTTACCAAGCGAACTCTTTCCAGTGAAAGTGCTGTTGGAAGTGAAGGAAAGAAAGCAAAAAGCAGTAAATAAAAAATTTAAAATATATATATAAAACAGAAAAGTTAAACAATTAGTGTTAAATTATTTTTAAGTTATTGTTACATTATGTTATGTAAGTTAAATTTTAGTATCATTTCCCTTCTCCCTCTCCTCTGCCACCAGTTTACACCTCCACCAATGTCTATCCTCAAAGGTAAAGTGCAAATAAAACTACATTTTTTTTAATCAATTATTATTTTATTATGGTTATTTATACATTTACAACTACAAAATGCATTTTTCAGTGTTTTCCTTACTAAAGTTTTTTTTTCAATGTACTACTTAGCTTTAATTTGAGTGTGTTTTTCGTGTTGGAACGAATTATTTGGTTTTACATGTAATCACATGGGGAAAAATGATTCACCTTATGGCATTTTCACGATACAATCTGAGTTTCAGAATAGATTAATTTTGTATCTTGAGGTACCACTGTATATCAATTTTACATCATAATTATTATTAAAAATATCTAATGTTAAAATTCATATATAAAATAAAATTATTATTTTATAAAACTAAATAGTAATTAAAACTAGTAATAAGCAAACATATATTAAAAATTTTTAATGAAGTAACCAATATATCTTTAACAAATGGGTAATATTGGAGAAACACTAACACTGTTGACCTAAGTTAATGGATCATCTTTGGGCATGAACAGATGTAAGAACAATGTCAATGCCCTGTTCACACATGCCATTTTTGGCCCATTAACCAGGTCAAAAATATTAGCATTTCTTCAATCTTATCAAATGTTAAATAAAGGTGTATTAGTTAATTCATTAAATTAATTACAGTGGCTAGTTTAACTTTAAAAATATTTAATTCTGAATTTTATAATCCATTTAGGAAAATGAAAATAAACTAGCTGTTGTAATTGGTGATTCTTTATTATCGGCAGCATGTATTGCTTACTTAGGAGCCTTTACCAATGAATTCAGAGCATCTGTAAGTATTTTTATGTCTAAATTTGTAAATGCATTTTAGAAATGAAATATATTAATAAATATTATAATCAAGAATTGGTAGCAAATTATTGTGTCTTTTTCTTTAATAGTTAATGTTATGTAAAAATTCTGTTGTTGGCATTTTAGTAATTACAGTAGAGCATCGATTATCCGACCCCGATTAACCATCATTTCGGTTAACCGACCATTCTAGTCGGCAAATTTCAAATGTCCGCTAGTGATGTGGCGCTACAATATTTGGCTATGTCTTGGCTACTTTAATATTATTTTCGTTAAATTTTTGCGTGTTTTAGATGGCAACATCGACTCCACCATTGAAGGGAGGCCAGTATTTAAACGAGGCTTAATTTTCTAATTATGAGTGGTGGTTTGTTTTGTGAGCAATAAAATAATTTTAAAATAATTTTTAACGATATAATAGCGACGATTATTATTTTTAAAAAATTGTTAGGCTTAACATCGATGAAAATTCAATGCAAAGTTGGTTAATAGTGATATACTATTATACTAATATACTATGCTAATAATGTATTTTTTTCATTCTTTTCGATTATCCGATTTTTTCAGTTATCTGACCAACCTGAGTCTCCAATTGAGTCGGATAATCGATGCTCTACTGTAACTTTTTATAAACGAAGTAGAAATATAATATTAGATATCAAGAGATATTTTCAAATATAAATATCATCTGAATAAATACATAAATCTACAGTATTATTCATTGAAAATAATTCATAATATTAATGAATTTTCAGAACTTATTTTCCTCATACAATTTTTAATGTTATGATAAAAATTGGTATTGGATATTGTTTAGCATTCACCCAGAACATTTGATTCTTTTATGTATGAATGAATCACAAAGAATTGCTATCTAAAAGCATATATGTTATCACCAGAAAAAAGTGAATTTTAATGAAAAATCATCTTAGAAGTTCAGAGAACAGCAGAAATTTGAAGTAAATTCACATCACATCTTTTTGCTTTACACTAATTTCTTGTGTCATTTTTTTATTAATATTTTAAGATTCTTGAATTTTTAAATTATAGTCTCATTTATGAATCCCATTGAAAAAAGTTTTAGGGAAATTACTATCACTTTAACATATAGGAAATAGTAGCACTAACCACTTTAACATATAGGAAATAGTAGCACTAACCCTTTCTAAGGAACCAATTAATTAATTAAATTAATTAAGTAATTTAATTAATACCCATGAAGCTTAGTTGTCAGTACCATATTTAATTGCTAAGGAGATTTGAAACAGTGATTATAATGGTTTTTTTTTTTTTGTAGATATAGTGTCAAAGAAGATATCTTTGACCTGCTTTAAACTAAAACATGCTTCTGTACCATAATACAGTGAGGTAAAAGTTGTCGCATAGAAACATTTTACAATTGCAGGGCAGTTTAAGAGAGNTAATACTTTGTGGATTCAATCCTTTGATCTTAGAGTGGAAGCCGTAAGCTTTACTAACTATACTACAACAACTGTTATATTTCATCTTCCTCTGATAACTTATATGCTAATAGAACTACAAAACACTCAGTTTTAAACAATATTATTTTGAAAACTAAGGTCATGGATGAAACAACGAAGTCCAGATCGATTATTTTTTGTGCACTTTCACAATGTTAAAGCTTGTGAAAAGCCACAACATCATGCCTCATAAGAACTGTACATATGCCCTAAATTAAATTTAAAACTTCATATTAAATTTGATACTTGAGAATTTTTATATATTTCTAATATAATAAATAATAAATTATATTATTAAATTTATTATTAAAATAAAACTTTCTATTATCTTCAGGCTAATCATTGGATAAAGTGTATGGAACAAAACAATAGCTTGAAAGTATTAAAATTCTCAGATGATGATTTCTTATTGAATTTAGAAAATTGTGTAAGACTTGGATTACCAGTTTTAATAGAAGAGGTATTTTTTTTATTAATATAATATATTAAATTTGATTTTTTATAACTAAATTATAATAATTTCTTCTGTGTTTTGATATTAAATTAACATATGCAAGATTTAAAAATTCAGAGTGTAAGACTATGTTTATTTTTATTTTTGATTAAAAAAAAAAGTAAAAGTGTTAAATATATTGTGGTGTATCCCACCATGTATATATACGTTTTATTAATTAATCTTTTAAGTTATCTGTAATTTCTTCATCTACATAATTAAACTGCACTATTTTCCTTGTTCAACTCTCCCAACCTATATGTGTTTTCTGGCTAGTTTTGGGCTGGAAGGGGCATCGACCAACTTCACAACATAGGGAGACAAGCTTTTGTTCTTTTCTTGGAGAGTCAAGTGAGAGGAGAAGCATGTGAGGAGAGAGGAGAAAGGTGTGAGTAAGACAGGGTGACAATGAGAAAGGAACCAGAGAGAGAGACTCAGTCAACGGAGATTCAGAGGAGTTGTGTTAAAAAACTGGTACTATCAAGATATAAAGAAGGATTTGTAATTGGGTATTTTATCCTGTCAAATGGTGTCCACTTGGTCAGGTTGTATCTTCTCAATTAATTGTGATAGACATCGCAAATTGCCCAACTCGCTAAACAAATAAAACGGACCCCCTTCTAATATAATCTTTATTCTTTCTCTAATCTAAGTAACATTAGTTTTAGTTTAATTTAAGTTAGTTTTAATTAGCATTATAAGATGATTAAAACAGATTGTGAACTGGCCAGTTTCGGGACTCGCACATGTAACCAGATCCGTGAGCATTGTAAACGAGGAGAAATAAATGCCCCATGGCCATTTATTTATTAGAAAAATAAAAATACAAACAAAGAACATATAACACAAATCATTGCCACATATATAGGTAACTAGCTGTTACCCATGACTTTGCCCGTGCGGATTTTGCAAGCAAACCCCATTTATATTCAGTATTTCAACAACCATAGTAATTGTTATATAACATCTACCACTGAGAATGATGAGAATTGCTGAGTATTTCTCAGCAATTCTCATCATTTATCAAATTGAAAATAGTTCATCAAATGAACTATTTTCAATTTGGCCAATTTTCTGGAATGTTTACAATCATTCTATAATCGAACCAATATGCAATAACAAATTCAAATTTATAACGGTTCGAACATTTGGTTAAAAAATCGAAATATATAAAAATATTTATAACAATGTTTGAAATGTTATCAATTTAATACATCTAAGTACTGAATGAAAACTAAATGTAGTTGAAAACAAAAAAATCGCATTTAAAATATTACAGTAGAAGCCGTTCTTCAGGTTAAGCCTTAATCCTCTCCCTCTCCCCCATGGGGAGAATTTCCAAAAATCTCTTCTTAGTGTGCATTTTCATGAAGTATCCTAATAGTGTACAAAATTTCACCTCTTTAGGTTCAGTGGTTTGCTCTGGACAATGATGAATCAATCAGTCAGTCAGTCAGGACAAGTAATTTTATATATTTAGATAACAGGAGAAAAATTTAACAAAAAGAAATACTTTGACATTATTTAAATGTTTCGATTAATATAATTTATTCAGCCAAAACAAAACAAATATAAAGTAATATGAGTAAGACTGACACTCACTAGAATTGATAAAAGAAAAATTTTAAAATTGTGTAGTACAATAATATCCTTTAAAACTGTGGTTATTCAAAAGTTATAATTGTAATGACAATAAAATTTAGTTTTTTCAACAATAATAAATCTAGCTTATCTCAAAATACAACTCATATACCCATTATTTAAGCAAACCTTCATTATCCACTTATAATGCTGTATAGACTTAATGGTTTCTTTCGTTTTTTTTGTTTTTTTTGCTTTATATTTTTATTTGTTGTTTTCTTGGAGCATTTGAAAAGGACAATTTCATTTTTTTGTCTCTTTCTCTCTCTCGACCATCTCACAGTAAATCAAACTGCAGATATGACATCATATATTTCTACCCCTGCCACGATGTGATGCTATTCCCACCAATACAACACTTTATCCACCTGTGTTTCCACCTAACTGATGTTTGCATCATGTGTCCAGGAGTCCAGGAAAAGACCAAAAATGTTTAGGTTTTAAGAAAATTTGTCAAATCCTCAATAATTAATTATTTTTTAATGTTAAAGCTGATTTTATAACTGATGAACAGAAACAGTCTGATAATTTAATTATCAAGTAATTTATAACAACAATCCAGAGAAGCAGTCCAGATACTGAGCCTTGAGGACATTTTTTATTTAGGGAGCAGGTTTTTTAACAAAGCCCAAATTAAGCTCAGCTCGTCTGTCTTTTAAGAAATGCTTGAGCAAATAGAAAATATTTTGTGTTACTTTGGTGTCTCTGATAAATTTTAAAATTGAGGGCACTAGGCATTGTCAAAAATACAACTTTGATATCTAGAAATATTAACAAACACATCAATCTCTTCTTTCCTTGCTGTAGACTATCACTCAATTTAACGAGGGCATCTTCTGGAGAATGCTGGGACATAAACCTATATTGGTCATTAATCAAAAACTTTTCATCAGGTGAAACTTAAATAAATAAAATAAAAAAAAATAAAATAAATAATAGAAAATGTAAGGGAAATTTTAATTCACTATACAACTACTATTTGACTAATTAACTAAGAAGTCATTATATACTGTACATAACCTGGGGTATGCCTGTATATATATCTTCATCTACTTCCTACTTCTAAGCAGTTTCAAACCCATTTCTGGGTTTGAAAGGATGGTTTGCTGGTCCATTTCTAGACTTTTCTGTATTTTTATAAATAAACAAAGAATCATAACTCTTTGTTTATTCTTGCAATCACAAAATGCTAACGTAAACAATTTTATATAAATATGAAGAATTTATAACCTTGTTATCAGTAACTGAAATTTATTAAATTTACTTGAATCTTAAAAACAAAAAATTATTACTAAATAATAATAATGTAGTATCCTTCACTTTTTCTTTTTACATTTATCTTGAAATAATCAATATAATCTATGGTGTTTGAAAGTTCAGAATGATCTTTAGAGAAAAAACATAAATGATACAAGAAAAGAAATCATTTCTGTATCATTTAGATACCTAGAAATTTATTAGCATTTTATATAGATATCAGGATTATTTCCAAGGTAAGATAAAAATGTAGCTACTAAAAGGACACCATTTAGTAATCAATACAAGAAATTCTTGTTAGTTTGAAATTCAAGAGACAAAGTAATTGTGACTTTGGATTATCAAGTTTCAAATTATTTAAGATTTACATTAGTGTTGCAACGAATAGTATATTCAACCTCAGGCCAAATACCGAATATTCGGCCAGGAGCGTGGCCGAATAGCTGAATATTCGGCCAAACTATTCGGCTTGATTAACGAACTACAAAAATTGGCGCGCAAACCACATTATGGCAAGGAGGCTCTCTATTGGCCTGCTGTCACTACGCTTTGCCAATCGCATTAATTCTTGGCAGTTGTAGCTGACAGACAAGAGCATCATGGAAGTATGTGATAAATGATGATATCAAATGTGGATAACAACGAAATGACCTAAACGTGTAAATAACGGAAAAAGAACAGAGAAGGACCTCAAAGTGAAAATGTGAAAATAAATGTGAAATTGAGTTGATAACATAATCGAACAAGTCGAGGCAGCTTATTGGCACGAAATTCGCGGCCGTCAGTTCCAAACAATTGTTGTCATAGACTTCGGAAAGCTAAATGCTTGCAATGAAAGTCACTTAGCATGCACAGGCGAAAGCCTGGGACCGTTTGGGCTACCAAGCTGTTTCAAATCTGTAAAATCATAACTGTGGCTTATACTGACGTCCTATCTGTCTCTTTTTTCCATTATCACCAGGCTATGAGTCACGTAATTGTAAAATGGGGAATCTACGACAGAAAAGTGACAAATCAAAAGTATCATGAGTGGGGTATTATGATGTATGCATAGTCATACGTGGACTAGAGCAATAGATGAAAAAGAAAGGGAAGAGCAAAGACGAGTGCTTAAAAAGGAGGATAGGCAGGGACAGACCCTCGGATGTGTGACGATTCTCGAACGAATAGGTGTGTACTGTACGTGTGCTGATCTTTGTAATTATAAATTGTGAATACATGTGACTAATATTTTCTTTTTTATTTAGTGCATGTTATAAGTTATAAATAAATATTAACAAACAACACTACCCAATAACATTAAATCTAAATACCAAAATGATTAATTTACTGTGTTTTTGTTATTTCTCATTCCTGTTTTTAGGTATTCAGTATTCAGTTGAATAGTGATTTAAATGTTTAGTATTCATCCAATATAGCAAAAAATAGGCCGAATACCGAATAGTAACAGAATATTCATTACATCACTAATTTACATATTTCTGTACAGTTTGCCAAATGCCTTGTAACTGATGTAATTTAGTAAGCAAACAGAATACAGCTATGTATATAGAACACTATTTTTTTAAAATTAATAATAATAATATGAATAAACTGCAGGTAAACAGCACATATCTGCTGAGAATCTCACAAGTTGCCAGATAGGTTTTATAGAAAGTAAAAAGTATTTTTTAAAATGTAGCCCAAATTACTTTTTAGTGGCCCAAATGTAATAGACTAAAGTTTTACAAATATCTCAATCTTCTACTTGTATTCCAATCTTGCAATCTTGAAAACCAGCTGTATTTTATGAGATAAAAGGAAGAAAAGAATAATTCTTAGGTAAGGTGACACTTGAAAATGTTACTGTAAAAGTAAAGCCATATTAACCACATTAGAGTTGTTCTTGGTCATTGTTCTCTTATAGTATGGAGACATTTCAATCTAAATGAATGAGTTAACATATGCATATCTCAGTTCTGATAGAATTTTCACTTCAAATTTTGAAGTAGCCATATTTTGAACTAACCAAATTCCTTAATGTATATTCCTCTATATTTCCATTAATGACAAATAGTACAGTTATGAACTAATGGAGTTTCAAACAATTCAAGTTTGAGTTAGCAAGGATTCTCTGTACTAAATTCAAAACAAGAAAAAGGAAAGAAAGTGCAAATGGATATACAATAATATTTTGAAAATATTATAAATACTACAATATAAATGTGCACATTTATAAAAATGAAATAAATAATTAGTAATATTAAATACCTTTTTATAGTTACTGTTACTTTTTTCCTAAAACAGAACTTTATTTTTGTCATCTTATACATGTATTGACAGAAATTCTTTTAGAAAACAGCACTATATGTGTGTATATATTGTCTTTGTTTAAATATATAGATCTTTAATATATTTTATACAATATTATGGCCGGCGGCCACACAATCATGTCTTGGTGTGTGTGTGCTCTCACATATCCACTGTACCCAATACTTTTTATAGTTGGATCAGAATGACCAGATAGCAGGCAATTCAGCAAAATGGCCATTTTGTTTCCTTCAACCAAATGTTCAAAACTCAAACATTTCTCAATCTCCATCAATTGTGCTTAATGTGTTTGACTGTGTCACACGGGCATTCAAAGAACAGATTTGTGCAGTAATGGGAGAATTTTGATTGGGCATGTAACTTTTTTTGTCAATGAGTGTATATTATATTGTAAATTTTCTGTCAAATACAATTCTTTAGATAACATTACACTTCACATCAAGAGAGAGGGATTTGGGAACTAATGGGTTGAAATTGTTCTGAACTGTACTTATGTTTTTCAAACATCAAGAATTCAAGTCTGGTAAGATCAAATGACAGTTGTGGTTCAAAAATGGAAATAGAATTTATTGATTTCTTCACTTTTAAATTGAACAGTATTGTGATATTTCAAATTTTATGATGGTTCAGCAGAGCAAGATCAAGTACTTTTTTCTTTATTCAACAATAAGAACACCTTCTCTTCTTTTTTTTATTAATGAGTATATCTTTGATTTTTGAAAACATTCTTCCAAATTATTCCCACAAACAGCTTTTGATGGGAAACTGAGACACTTCTTTTTTTAATTGTCTCTTTCAAGTGTCGTATGATTGTATATAAGTTTTTGATTTATTATACAGTATTTAACATAAACTATTACACGATGATATGTGTGTAATAAACATGCATATCATTGTATAATAATTATCATTTTTATTACACACACCATACACAGTGTTAGAAAACATATGTATGAAACATTACAATAGAGTCATAATTAAAGATAAAACATTCATCATGAAAGATCAAACAACTCATTTATTGACAAATAAAATAAATGTTTTGTAGATAATTATTTAAATAATTCTTTGAAAAATTGATTAAAACAAAAAGTTTCCCAAGAAATGAAGATGCATTATATGTATCACATTTGATAATTTTCATCTTCCATGTTTATATTTTAGAGATTTTACAAAAAGATTTTATTCTTGCATAAGCATCATTTTATACCTACAACACTTACAAAAATGGATAAGATATTTATTGTGCCTGTTTCTCTTTTTCAGATGTCAAACCAAATATTTTACTAAACTCTAGAAATACTAAATTTTAGTACAATAAATGCACCTTACAACAAAAATGTTGCAATGTTAAATATATGAAAGTTTTACATAAAGATGTGTCTGTGAAGTTGATATATATAACAATTGTTTTAATAACTGTGCCTTGATTTCAATTTATAATAGAACATGGCATAATATCAACTACATACCGTATAATATCAATATTGAAAATAGTTTGGCAGCAGTAATGCCTAATTTTAACTGTTTTTAACTGTTAAATATTTATACACACTATCACTTGAGCCAATAAAAATAAATTAAATTTTTAATTATAAGTTAAAAGTAATAATTTTTTAAATTTCAGATTATTAAGGAATGGATAAATAAAAGTATTGAACTTGATATTCCTGTTTCCACCGAATTTAATCTCATCAGATTCATGACCAATCCTTATGAAATTCAACAGTGGGAAAGTTATGGGTTACCGAGATATGCCCAATCTAGAGAAAATGCCATTTTAATTACTAGAGGAAAACGATGGCCTTTAATAATTGATCCACAAAAACAGGTAATCTTAATTAAGTTATATACAAAGTTATTTAATATTTAATGCATTTTTTCTACTGTCTGGTTGTACATTTGTTATTGATTTTACACATATAATCTATCAAATGCAGTATTTTTGCTTCTCAATCTTTAAAATAATTAGTCATTAATTCTAGAAATGAATGGTAGAAATCTGTGTAAACTATATGCATTCTTTTAAAATTCGTTAGAATTTATTAAAAATAAAATATTTTTTCTATTGTGATTATTTATTCAAAATAAAATTAAACCCANAGTAATTTAATTAATACCCATGAAGCTTAGTTGTCAGTACCATATTTAATTGCTAAGGAGATTTGAAACAGTGATTATAATGGTTTTTTTTTTTTTGTAGATATAGTGTCAAAGAAGATATCTTTGACCTGCTTTAAACTAAAACATGCTTCTGTACCATAATACAGTGAGGTAAAAGTTGTCGCATAGAAACATTTTACAATTGCAGGGCATTTTAAGAGAGTAAAGCATTTCCAAGGAATTCAGACATTTTTAAATAACAAAAATCAATCTGTTTTGTAAGGCTTTATAAATGAAAGGAATGATTTTAATGTCAATTATACATAACAGTAAAGAAGAGTAACCCCCCTGATTTAAACAATTTACAGAAAAGTATGCTAATAAAAATACTTCTAATGAGCCAATGTTGAGGTAAGTGTAATTGAAATTAATACAACAGTTGCCAGTCTGTAACAATCCATACTTTTTGTTGTTTCATTACTGCAAATGAAGCCAATATTGTTGGGGTGTTAATGGCAGGATGCATAGCAGTTGCTTTGCATGCAAATTTGTCTTTGCTTGTCATCTATCAATGGGATATGGTTAGAGACAGTGTTCTATAGCAAGGCTTTCATTTTTCTTTGGATGATGGACAAAGATATTATTACAGCTGTTCATGCTTGTATCACAATTAGGCAGGGCTGTCAAGAGTTGTTGCCTCCGCACCCCTGCCTGATTGTGATACAAGTTGTTGCCAGACCCAGGAGTTAACGTTTATTGTTGTTATGTACTTAATTAGTGCATAAAATAAACACATTGTGGGATGTTGTCCAAGCTTTTGTGAATTTCAGACCTGGGAAATTTATTCCATCATCCTCCCTCTCTTCAGCCATGCAATCAAGCAATTGTGGTGTTTCGTTGCGACAAGTACAATGTCCCGCGAGCGGAAAGGTACGAAATAAATACACTTTGGATGTATTGAACACAAAGATATTTATTGTCACTTCGAAACAGGTTCGTTTCTTCCAGATCCCAACAATACAATGATCACTGTACGTACAGGCGTTAAAATTCGATCTAACAAACAGCGGATTAATTGAGGGTTACGACNATGAACTAATGGAGTTTCAAACAATTCAAGTTTGAGTTAGCAAGGATTCTCTGTACTAAATTCAAAACAAGAAAAAGGAAAGAAAGTGCAAATGGATATACAATAATATTTTGAAAATATTATAAATACTACAATATAAATGTGCACATTTATAAAAATGAAATAAATAATTAGTAATATTAAATACCTTTTTATAGTTACTGTTACTTTTTTCCTAAAACAGAACTTTATTTTTGTCATCTTATACATGTATTGACAGAAATTCTTTTAGAAAACAGCACTATATGTGTGTATATATTGTCTTTGTTTAAATATATAGATCTTTAATATATTTTATATTAAAGTTTTATATATAAAGATCTGTTTAATTTATTTATAAAAATTAACTTTGATATACTTTTTTAAGGCTTAATATATAAACTGACAGAATATATCTTCAGAGAAATAATTAAGCATTTTTTGGAATTTTTCTTGTCCTATATAAATGTTATTTCAGATTAGATACTGTACTTTGTATAATTATATAGATAAATGGTTTTCATTACGTTATTGAACAATGAATGAAGATATCATTATTATATAAGAAAATTTTATAGTATATTAAAATGTAGCAATGAAGAATATTTTAACTCAGGCATTTATATAATAAAAATTTTTGAATATAAAAAAATACCGATATTATTCGTTTAAATAAATATAAATTTTTATTTCAAAATTAAAGTCTTAAATATTTAAAATTTAATTTTGTAGGTTGGAGAAACTTTAGATCCATGTTTAGAATCTTTAATGATGAAACCATTAATGGGGGTAAATAATAAATTTAATTATTTTTAAAGTTAAAAATAATTAATTTTTTAATTTTAAGTTAAATATTAAACATTTATATTTAATATTTTAGTGTAATTTTTTAATATTTATTTTTTTAAGAAATATTGTAAGTAATAAAAATGGAAAATATAACTTTAATAAAACAAATGTTATAGTCATTAACCCTATATCAAATATATCAAACCCTAAATTAAGGAGACACTTGCTTTCAAATAGACAAAACATTCTTAAGAAGATTTAAATTTTTATCTCTAGTGACCACAAGAAACATTCTGATAAACATTCCTTTGGCAGTTCCTAATGGATTTACTTTTTCTATCAAGAATCTTTTACAACTATTAAATAAGTTGAATGGAAGTACACTAACGGACAGTAAATATAACTTAGTGTGTCATTTTATTTCAATGTTTCCATCAATCACATTGGAACTGTGCTTCTGCTCACTAACATGATCTCTTTAAAATCATTTCATCACTGCAAACACCACCACCAAATACTGGATCTGATTCACTTTCTACATTATACCTCATTTTTTGTGTTCAATAGCAGGTTTTACCTGCAAAAATATAGTGGTACAATCCACTGTGCAGAGACTTGTGTGAGTTAGTGGTCAGACAACTGGAAGCTAAATTGCTATAGGAGCATTTACTGGAAATTGAGCTATACTCACAGTATGATGATAACATTTTAATCACATGGAAAGCCTCATTGACGACATCCTGCAAAGGTTTAATGACAACTCTTATGGGTTAATATAAAATTAGACCAATTTAGGGTAAAAGAAGCTCACTTCCTAGATGTGAAAATTAGGTTAACAAATACTAGTGTTTAAACAAACTGTTTTCTGTAAATCCATGTATTACCCAACTTTTATTCTGGTCACTTCTTGCAACCTGGCCTCTTATAAAATAGCAGCATTTAGATCATTAGTGAAAAGGGTCTTTTAAAAATTTTGAAACATTCTGATTAGAACAAATAATTTTTAGGATGATGATAGGAAGTTAATGGAAATTATTACACTCAAAGGGTAGGATTATCCACACAATCACATTTCTCAGAAATATTGTAAGAACAGAAATAGCAGTTAAGGAGATAGAAGGTATTAGTATAAGGTAATTGAAAATAATGCTTTTTAATTTTTAAAAATACCTGCAGATCATTAGAAATGAATTTATAATTATATATATGTTACATTCAGTAATTGTGCATAATCATTGAATACAAACTGTACTGTATTTTCATGCATATAACTTGTGATGGTGCTGTACCCTGCAGAAAATTGCTAGAACGAAAATAAAACCTTTTCATCATTTGCCTCACCATATATTCTGTGCAGCTGATCCTGTAGGTGTCTACAGGATCAGCCATTGCTTTGTAGCATGAATATATAATAGCATATAATATGCTCCACTACATAATCCACACCATCTTTCAAACACAAATAACTTGCAGATGGTATGGACGAAAATACAATTTAATAATTATATTCTGTTTTTGAAAATTGTTAAAATAAGTAATGGTAAAATTATTATAGGGAAATATTTTAAGAACAATAGCATAATATTATACAAATGAAAACATTTTATTTTAGTAGCATAAAATAATCTACAATTTTTATTAAATGTTTTTTCATAAACTCAAATAAGCTATTGCTTTAGAGAACCAGATGGATGAGGCAGTAAATGCATCAGCCTACTGCTGTGGATATCACGATTTGAGTCCTAGGACCTCAGAAATTTTTCATGGGCAATCTATCCCAGTTATGTTGTGCCCCAGTCCCTCACCAGATGGCTGTCCACACAATGGATGTGATTAAAAAAATCCTATTCGTGACCACTAGGTGCAAAAGAGTAAAAAAATTGCTGTGATGGTCTATTAATATTTCAGTTTGATGGTAGACAAAATGAAATACTTATAACATCTCTGTATATATGGTAAAACATTTTTATTTCCACTGATGATCTGTTTGTTGTTAACAAATAGAAAGCAAATTATAATTATTTTAATATAGTAGAACAATATAAACACACTTTTGGACAGATGCCACTCATATAAAAAATTTTTTGGAGTGCAAAGGGTTATTTTGAATAAAAAAAAGTTATATAATAGCAGAATTATGGAAAAAATTATTTTATTGACAAAGCAGTAGTTAAAACTTATAATATATATTGATTTCAGAAATTAGCCAAAATGTTTGTCTTCAAAAACTTTAGTATATTTATAAAAATGCATCAAGAAATTAATTAATTCTTTCATTTTTTGGCATGATGCCTAAAAAGTTTTTAAATAAGTAATTTTAAATATTTTAAAGTATAATTTATGAACTGTTTAATTTGCAGAACAGGCAATTAACTGTACGTTTAGGAAATGATGACATTTACTATTGTCATAGCTTTTCCCTTTATATGACAACAAAATTAGCTAACCCTCAATATTTACCCGAAGTTTCTATCAAAGCGTCAATCATAAACTTCAATGTCACACAATCAGGATTAGAAGATCAACTGCTCAGGTAAATGAAGTAATTTAAAATATTGCTTTGTCAAAGCCATGTAAAAATAATAAGAATTACCGTATTTCGTTTCAGTGATGTTATGAGATTAGAAAATCCAGAACGGGAAGAAGATCACAAGCTGCTTATTCAAAATATAGCTATTGATCAAGCTCAATTGGCCGAAGTTCAAGAAAGAATTTTAACTATGCTATATACCTCAAAAGGCAATATTTTGGATGATGAGGAACTTATTGCTGCCTTAAACGAATCAAATGTAATGTATAAATACTTTTTATATTATTTTAAAGTTGTATATACAGTAAGACTTTGTTTAATGCTACCTCGATTAACACTGATTTGATATAACACTGTCTGTTCAAAGCCTAAAAAAAGCTCAAAATTTACATTGATTCAAATTATTGTGGCATTTCTTTAATTCGTATATAATATGATTGCCTAACACAAACCAATCAGCAAAAGGTGGCAATTCGTTGTAGCGCTGTACTTTCCTTAAATCTATGTTTGTTTGGTGCAATTTTGGAAAAAAATATAACATTATGGATGCCATAGGCAATATCAACTTTTCTTGGCAAGAATTAACTGATAAATGTATGAACAGAGTGTGGAAGAAGTTATGGCTGGAGATATCTAAGAATTTTCAACGAGAAGAGCCTATTGTCAACCTAATTGATACAGCAAGACTAGGAGATGTAGACAAGCAGGATATTGAGGAGTTACTGCAGGCTTCTGGTGAGAGCCTTACCAATGACTACTTTCAAGAACTGGCAGAACAAAGAATTTGTGTAGAACTGGAAAATAGAGATTCTAAAAACGAAGAACCCAAAGACTTTCTCTACAGATTTTATTAGTAAAAGTTTGGTAGTGATAACTGAAACCATTGATCAAATTGTAGAGAATGATCCAGATTTTGAAAGGAGTGCAAAAGCCAGACGAGAAAGAAAGAAAGGAAGGAAAGAAAAAGGAAGTGACAAATGACACTACACTTCTTCATCACAAAAAATTCAAGAATTTCAGAATAGCCAGGACTTTCATCCCAAAATATGAACTTTAAATTTCTGTGTGCATATGTTTATGTGTTATTTAACATATATTATTTTGCAAATTAATATAAAAATAACTTAAAGTAAAATTTGTTAATTTTTGGTTGCGTGTTCCCCTTCCCCTATTTACTTGCTGTTAAAATTATCTTGTTTAACGCTGTTTCATTTAGCGCTTTGTCATCTAGGAATGTATCCCCCATGTTAAGCGGGGTCTTACTGTAGTTTCATTTTATCTATAACTTTAAATTTTCCATGATTTCCTGCATTTAACTCACAAGTCATTTGCATTTTAACATCAGTGTGAAAGCAGATGCATACTCCCATTCTAGTAATTTTTGCATGTCATATGCAGGAAATTATGGTAATGATTTTAATATATTATATTAAATTATATCATCAATATTTTAAATATATTTAATTGAATCCTATTAATAAAGAAATTAAATTAACAAAAGTTTGATTTCCAGTATCATTGTCTATGGCTATTGCTATGTTCAGAAATCTTAATTAAAATTAGAATTTTAAATTCTGTATGTAGCATCCTTGTAATCCAAGAAATGATTCTTGGTAGACGACCAAACAGCAATTGGTTAGGAAAACATTATGGTTTATTTAAAACAATTTTTTATTCAAATGCATTTTGGGTTGGTTTATGTTCCCAACTCCTCTTCAGTGCTGTAAAAAATACAAATCAAAGTAAGGTTCACGACATTGGTAAATATGATGTTAAAAAAAGGGGGAGGTAAAAAACAATAACATAAAAAACTTACATGTCATATAATGGAACAACTTAAAATTGTGTTACTATATTTTTATCACATAGGTGTATGACCATTCACTATAATATGAAAAAAGTATAAATCATTGCTGTTTAACACATTATTTATATAAAAAATAAATACAGATTATTCATTTTAGCGTATCTATGAACAGTTACATTTTCAGTTAATATGAATTATTCCTGACAAAAGGTAAAACAGTAAAACCGACAACTGGTGTTAACTGGTGTTCACAGAGTAACAGTATACCGACAAGCAATGTTATCCAATTCTTTCCTAACATTCCGTACAATGTGGTGTGCTTTTAAACAATGTTTAATGCATGGAGGCGCCCTCTATTAATTTATACCATTGGGGATCTATTGACATGCCTTCTGAAATATTAATTAAGTTATCTGTAGGGTGTTTTTTGATTTCTATGTGTTCTTTAAATTTCCTTTTGTATGGGTCTTTTTCTAAATGTGTAAAACTTTTATATTGTTTTTATTAATTTGACAATTATTGTCACTTGTGCGGCTGTACCAGGGGGAAGTGTTATGTTTTAGATGGATAGCAGCTTCATGTTCTTTAATTCTTGTACTAATAACAGGCCTGTTTCGCCGATGTAAGTTTTCAGATTATGACAGTTGCATTCAAATTTGTAAACTGTTCCTACAGTTTTAAGAATGTTTAGTTTATTGTTATGTTGTTTATTAATGATTAATTTATAATGTTGTTTATTATGTTGTTTCTTAATTACCAATGTTGTGAACCTTACTTTGATTTGTATTTTTTACAGCACTGAAGAGGGGTTGGGAACATAAACCAACCCAAAGTGCATTTGAATAAAAAATTGTTTTAAATAAACCGTAATGTTTTCCTAACCAATTGCTGTTTGGTCGTCTACCAAGAATCATTTTTTGGATTACAAGGACACTACACACAGAATTTGAACGTACAGCAACCATACCTTCTACATTAGAATTTTAAAGTTCTTAGTGAGGTTTAAAAAGAAAAAAACTGTTTAGAAAATCAAAATTTTATTATTATTGTTGAATGAAATTGAATATTTCTGAATTTGATATTAGCCTAATATACACTAAAAATATTTAAATATGTTTGAAATGTGGGAATCAGTTTCAATAAGAAAGTTAACTGAAAAGAGGAAAAATATCTTCTCCTATTATTGACAAAAAGAGTCTGCAATCTATAATTCAGCTAAACTTTAATTAATTAGATTAAGTAATTTGGTCAAAAGGTAGATAGTAGGCCATCATAAAGCAAGATGGTGCTTAACTGCCTATCTTTAGACTAAATTTGGTAAATAAATATTTAGTTATATTTGTGTTGTGTATTGACAACACCATTCCCTTAGGATTTGGGGGTACAAAAAGACTAACAAAGAAACCTGTGATCCTTTGTCTGGCAGTGCCCTTGGGACCGGATCATCGCATAGACAAATGAGACAAATGTCCAGGGCCCGGTCAAACTGTCTATTTTGAAAAGATTTGTAAATAAGATAGTTTACCACACTAAAAATAAATTTTTAGTTAAAAACAAGTAAAATCATACTCTTTCTATTTCTGACTTTGAGGATTCTATGAGCCAAAAAACGACAAATAAATGGCAAGGAATTTTTCAAAAATTCTTTAAATATCAGTTTATATTTTTCAAAAATATTTTTGAAAAATATAAACCAATATTTAAAGAATTTTCTATATGTATAGTTGCGAACCAAAAGAATAAGATGTCAAATATTATCAGTATAATAAACAGTGAAAATTCGCCCAGAGACCAATTTAAGATCGCCGGTGTAGTATACAGAATGTCATGTACATGTGGAAGTCCAAATTATTACATTGGAGAAACCAGAAGAAGATTGGAGTTGCGAATAAAGGAACATGAGGCCGCCGTTAGACTGAGAAGAACGGAATCAGCATGGTTTTTACATTGTAGAGAATTTAATTGTAATATAAATAGAAAAAAATACTAAAATATTGTATAAAATAGAAAATAATTTAGAAAGAAAAATTGTAGAACATTTTTGTATCGCCAAACATGCAAATGTACTTAATTTGAATGCTGGAATGGTTGTTGATGCATGCTGGGAATGACTGTTGGATATAAAGCGTAACCAGCGATTGATATCTTGATATATCCACTGAGGAGGCCTGATGGTGAAATGCATTTGGATCGTATTAATAAAATAATGATTGTTCCTTGCCATTTATTTGTCATTTTTTTGGCTCATAGAATCCTCAAAATCGTAAATAGAAAGAATATGATTTTACTTGTTTTTAACTAAAAATTTATTTTTAGTGTGTTAATATTTATACCAATCCCATTTGTTTTTAATAATTGAAGATAGTTTACTTTTCTATTGGACAACTGTATATAATAAACAAATAAACAAAAATATATTGTTTTTCATATGGTTATTGTGAATTCTGTAAGATTGCCGACTTTTAGGGGCAATAAGTTAATTGCACGTCAGGAAAACCTAGGGGAGAATCATATGTGGGTGGTCAGGGGTGCCTATGCCTGTTTGAACGCCCGTGTGCAATACCGATTATGCTGCCCCCGTCTAACTACGACTACCTACGCTGAGTGTGCCAGAAAGGTTCTTTAGTGTTGTCTCATAAGGGTGTGAAAAAAGAAAAGAAATACTTTACATAGAAACACTATTTATTATTATTAAGTTATTTTTGTTTACTTAAGTGTAAAACCATATAAATATTTATCTACAGAACTCTTCTTGCCTTTATGTTTGCGAAATCTGCTATCAGTTTTCTTGTATCCAAGCTGTCTAAGATTTCGTGTTCAATTGAAACTATAGCTAAATTACTTAGTCTTTGCTGGTGCATTGTTGATCTTAAATAGTTTTTTATATAATTTTTAACTTTGGAAAGGACCTTTCATCAAATGCAACTGAAACCGGCAATGTAAGTAATTTCCTAGTGCTATTGCTATGCTCGGAAATGTTGAAATTAAGTCATTAGTAAAAAGATATTGTAAGAGGGTTTGTGGATCATGAGACTCGTTTTCTGGAAAATGCGACTTTAAAGTATTGATTTCATTAAACAAATCAATACCGTCAATGTCTGTTTCACTACTCGAAACGTCTTTAAGCTTCAGATTTAATCCTAACCAAGTTAAAATATCATTAATTATACTTAAACCCATGTGAGAAGAATTATTAACAAAATAATTGCAATTTGATATGCGATAGAGCTGTTCGAATGCGAACAAGTGCAAATTGAGAAGGAAGCTCTGTGGGGATTCCCTATTTTCGCCAGTCCTGTCAACTTCTGTCATAGAGCACGACTATGGGTACTTGGCTTTCAGGCGCCGCCGGATGGTTCAACCTGCCGACAGACGGTTCGCATTGCATCTTAATTCTGATAAATGCCAATAGAGGCGCTGCTAACGCTATAATATAAATAAGAATATAGTAATTACGCGCCGGTCGGATTTTTTTCTCCATGCGAAGACATTTCTTATGCTATAAGTATGGTGGGTATTATGACAATGACTTTGAATATTACGTGACTGATCGCTCGATTTGCCGCCCCCTGGACGTGCCGCCCGCGTGCGGTGCACGCCTTGCATATATTATAACAACTTAGGAA